TAAATAAATAAATAAATAAATAAAATAAAGATCAGTTTAATGTACCTGTACAAACAGAAATGTCTCAACTGGATGTGAAAAAGATTGTAGTGTGAGACTTTAGTGTAAGGCACCTCATCAAGTAGTGGTACTTAGCAAAGGATTTCATGGGAACTTCTTAACTGCTAATATTTCACTCATTTTTCTTTTGCATTACATACTTCATTGATATAATTCCCTGTTGTCTGGTAACGTATGTCCCATCGCATTTGCTTCATTCTCCCATACTGAGAGCCAAGCTCAGGATAAATCCTCCTCACTTATCACAGAGGCTAGTTTCTTTCTCCCTCTCTCTGGACTTTTAAGAAATTGACAACATTGTCAATTTCATTGTAACAAAACAAACACTTCGTTTTAAATTAACTACAGTTTATCAGGTCATCCAAAATCTAAGTTGTTGTTATTCTTGTGCTATTGACAGTGCAAGTACACCAGCTTCAGTAGTAAAATCTGACATTCGTTTGCTTCCAATAATCAGAATTAAGACCGGCCACATTTTGTCTGGGTTCAAACGACACAAAAGAATAGAAGAAATCACATTGAAAGTAAAAGCCTCCGCACTAATGGCTCAACTGGAAGAGTTTCAGTGTGGTAGTGGAACACATTAGGCCAGGAGAAGGCTAAGACTTGTCCTTGTAATGCTACATTACAGCTTAGTGTCACAACTTCAAGTCAATCTCTACTCTTGATTACACAAGGAGGCAATGCATTTTGAGGACTTTGTTTTGTTTAAATCCTTCTTTCCTGCTCCTAATTGTTTTTTTTTTTAATTTCCAAATTCTGCTATAGGTATACAGGTCTGAAATGGCCTTTGTACAAGTCTGACAATCTAACCTCTTATATTCCACCTTTTCTTTTGATTTCTTTCTTTCTATAGGACGTTTTATGGGATCTTTTATGAATATTTCTGTTGCTGCACAATTCTTTTGTGCTACATCTGATTTTATCTCATCTGTTCACCAAGCAAACACTGTATACTGATTCACAGTTCATTGTTCTTGTGTCATATATGCTCTCCAGTGCTTACATGCAAATGTTACAACCAAAATCTCTCAAATGTCCAACAAGATGCAGTTGATTTTGCAAAGTCTCTCTGGACACATTTGTCATATTCAGAAACAATAATAAAGGTAGCTGCAGAAACATAGTTGGTCTGATACTTGCTCATGTTCTCTGATTGTGTAGGGGTTTCCAAATGACGGCCTGTGGGCCAGATCTGGTCCGCCTTGCCTTTTTATCCAGCATGTGCATGTGTGCAGGGTGTGCACATGTTTGCAGGCAGTGGGTGTGCATGCAGGACTGCGTGCGAGTGGGTGGTAGTGTGTGGGTGTGTGGGCGGGTGGGAGTGCATGTGTGTTCCTTCGGCCCTCAAAAGTTTTGAAAATATATGAAGTTTGGAGACCCCTGGTGTAGACTCATATACCAGGTTTGGAAATATATCAAGTGATTGTAACTGCGCCAAGAAATCTCATCCCTGCTATAAATTGCATCAGGCAGCAAACCTTTCTTTGAAGTAACAAATTAATCCATGTGCCATTTGAGGCTCCTGTTCTCTCTCTCTTTTTCTTTGACGGAGTGATACTGACCACCAAACAGGACACTGATTTATTGCTGTTACATGTTGCTCAATAGGTTTTAATAACAACTTCCCTTATACATCCAAACATTACTGAAACAGCGACGTCTACGTTGGCGTGGGCACGTCGTGAGAATGGCTGATAGTTGGATTCCAAAGGATCTCCTGTATGGAGAATTAGTGCAGGGAAATCGCCCCAGAGGGAGACCAGAGCTGCGATACAAGGACATCTGCAAGCGGGATCTGAAGGCCTTAGGAATAGACCTCAACAAACGGGAAACTCTGACATCTGAGCGTTCAGCCTGGAGGCAGGTGTTGCATCACGGCCTCTCCCGATTTGAAGAGACCCTTGTCCAGCAAGCCGAGGCAAAGAGGCAATCCCGAAAGCAGCAAAATCAGGGAGCTGGACAGGGGAAAGATTAGATTTGTCTTCAGCGTGGGATTGTCACTCTCGAATTGGCCTCCTCAGCCACACTAAACGCTGTTCCAAGTCCTCCATACAAAGCACATTACCATAGTCTTTTGAGACTGAAGGATGCCTACCTATGGCTGATAGCTAAAAGGTTGCAATACCCTACTCAATTATTTGGCAGTAAGTCCCACTGAACCCAGTGGGCCTTCTGAGTAGGTATGCAACAGATTTTCACTGTAACTCATTACATGTACTGTATCAGTCTATAAGCTAAACCCATGGGGGAGTAATAACAGTCAACACAGGCCATGTGCATAGGATTACATTATATGTTATCTATTATGCCTCTTCTCTCTTAGGAAATATTATCAAAATGTCCTGTGATCTAGGATTGTCAAATTTACATGAACAGATTCACCTAATGGGAATTTCTTTCATGCCTGCTTGCACTCCAGATCTATTCTGTAGGGCCACTGAACTTTCCAAGCACATTTGGAGAGGGCTTGTCAGCAGAGGTGGCATTTGATCCACTAGCAATAGTTAGTCATCTGACTGGGACAGGGAGCCCACAGGATGCCATTCCCAGTTAGAAGTCCACCTCTACTTCTGGTTCCTGGTGGTTTTGTTTTTACATGCTAGTGAGTAACCAGATACAAAAGAGAAAGGATAGACGGCATTTCAACAGGTGCAGCATGCAAGGCGAGCTTTAACCACAAAAAATTCACATACTCTACACAACTATTAATTGCATAGGACTTGTGTTCTTATTTGCAGTTGGTCTCTCCAGTGCTATTCTTCATTTTCTGCTCTTTAGGATTAGACAGACTTCTACCTCTGAGCCATAACTTCTCTTCCCCCTGTGAGGGTTCAATGTGACGATCCCGGGATACTTCCCTTTCCCCAATAACTTCACCGGACACCATTTGTATTGGTAATGATGGGACATTTATTTTTGGACTGGCAAATAAACCATTTTCTTGAACTGGCACACAGTTTCTTTCTCCTTCCTCCAATGTGTTGGGAAGGGGTTTCCAATCTTCTAAAACGAAGGGGTTACCAAAGCTGGAATTCCATGGTCTTGGTGGCTCTGCTGGTGACCATAGTTGTTCCCATCTGTACAGGTGACAGGGACATGGTCTCCAAGGAAGTCCTCCTCAGGTGACAGGGACATGGTCTCCAAGGAAATCCTCCTACTTGGGATATCCCCCAGGTTCCAGTGCCTCCCAGGCCTGCTCCAGTCTCCCGTCTTCATCATCTCCCATATTCGCCATTCACTCTTCTCCCTTCTCTCTTGTTCTACTTTGTCTCTTTCGTCTCTTAATTTCTTCCTCCACTCCTTAGCTTCTGCTTCTCCCCAGTAAGACGGTCTGGGAGGAATCACCTCTCTTTTCCTATGGTCTGCCTCTTCCCCAGGCACCTTCAGTCTCTCTCACTTCTGGGTCCAAGGATCTTGCAACCAGATCAATTCCCAACCTGGAGGTAATGACTCCCCTCTATCTCTTCTCCTTTTGCCACTTCTATCTCCTCCCTCTCTCTGCTTCCCTTTCACACCTCTTTTAACTGCTCTTCCATCCCCCTCAAGCCCTGGGGCAATTCCTCCTCTTCTGCCCCCTAGCTGGACTCCTCTGGGGCTTTCTCTGGAGTCATATTACCCTCCTTTCTCTGTTCCCTCGGTGGGAATGGGCAGTGCTCCAGTGAGCAGTGACCCTGTATGAAGACAGCAATACTGTTCTAGCTTAGAATAGTCAGGATTGCTTTAACAGTGCAATGCTACAGATCAAAGGTGAGCAAATTAGGGTCTTCCCAATGTTGTTGGACTGCAATTTCCACTAGTCCTGGTCACCACAGCCAATAGTGGGGATTGATAGGAGCTGTAGTTCAACAGTTTTTCTAGGGCCTCATGTTGCCCATTCAGATGTATAGCACTGCATAAAAATACTATATACTTTAGAATGGGATTTAGTGGACATCCATAGTTCACAAAAAGGCTGAAATCCTGTTGCTCAGTGTAGCAAGTCAAACTAGAATAGGCCCATTAAATCAGTGGGGGGTTGGTGTGTCAATTCCTCCATCAGTTCCATGATTCAAATGGGCCTTCTCTAGCTACAGCTATCTTTAATATCGTCGTCGTTTAGTCGTGTCCGACTCTTTGTGACCAGAGCACGCCAGGCCCTCCTATCTTCCACTGCCTCCTGGAGTTGGGTCAAATTCATGTCAGTTGCTTCAATGACACTGTCCAACCATCTCATCCTCTGTCGTCCCCTTCTCCTCTTGCCGTCACACTTTCCCAACATCAAGGTCTTTTCCAGGGCGTCTTCTCTTCTCATGAGATGGCCAAAGTATTGGAGCCTCAGCGTCAGGATCTGTCCTTCCAGCGAGCACTCAGGCATGATTTCCTTTAGAATGGATATAGTACGAACCCAAGTACGTTTACAACCACAGGGTCGGTGGTTAACCGAACACTCTAACAATCTTTGTACAATGCCATCCAGTGAGTAATTGGGATATGTACTTGTGCATAAAACTGTCAGGCCTGGAATCCAGAGTTATGCTATCAGAAGTAGTAGGTAATGCAGTTGTTATGATAGTCCGCCTATGGAAGCTTTCCTGATACATCCTGGAATTTTCGATCCTGTTTCCACGACAAGGTCTAGGAACGGCCCTTATGAAACTACTTTCTTAAAAGTGAAAGTGGCAGGAAATAAGGATGGGGGGTAGCCTTGCTCAGAGGATGAAAGGAGCTGGCAGACAGTGACAGCCCCCTTTTCCAACGGACCTCCAGCCAACCGTTTGTCAGCGCGAGCCTCTTCGTAGCGACCGTCGACCCTAACGCAGCACGACCAACCCGCTGCAAGCGTTAAGATAAGCCCCGCCTTCCGGCCTCCCCCAACCAATCCAGCCCCACAACGGCGGGAGGATGGATGGATGGATTCCCCGCGCCGTCAATCCAAGCCCGGGCAAAAGAGCCGGAAGCGCGTGCCTTGCGTCACAATAGTTGGGGTGGCGACTGCGCAGTGACACGTCTCCCTCCTGCGCTCGAGCAGGCTGTGCCGGGGGTTTGGGGGAACGGGGCTAAGAGCCAAGGCGCAAGGAGGGTGGAGGAGGCGGCGGCGGCGGCGGCGAGCAGCAGAGTTGGGGGCTTGCCCCCCGTTCTCGCGGGATCTTGTGGCGAGGTCGCTGCTGGACTGGAGGTGGCCCGAGAGCTAGAGCGAGCGCGGGGGGCCGGGCCGGGGCCGGGCCGTGAGGTGAGCTGGCGAGGCCATGGCCGGGCAGCAGTTCCAGTACGACCACAGCGGCAACACCTTCTTCTACTTCCTCACCAGCTTCGTGGCCCTCATTGTCATCCCCGCCACCTACTACCTGTGGCCGCGGGACCAACACGCCGGTGAGTGGCGGGCGTCGCCTGCTTTCCTTTCGTTCCCTTCCCGAAAACTCTGGCCGCGGCGGGCCTACGGCGTGCGTGAGGAAAGAGCCGCGTCCTCCCTCCCCCTCTCCGGGGCTCTCTGGTAGCCTCGCCTCAGCCGGGCCTCGGGGTGTGTGTGTGTGTTCCCGGCCTCCCCCTCCCCCCTCATCCCCGGGCCCTGCTGAGACCTGTCGAGCGAGCCTCCTTTGCAGCAACTTTGGCATTTTAGCCCACCTGTCGAGCGAGCCTCCTCTTCAGCCCCTTTGGCATTTTAGCCCACCAGACTCCCTATATCCTTGCATGCCAGCTGGAGAATTATCTGAGCGTCGACTCCTACACAGGCGAGGGCTGGGGCGGTCAGAGGACCGCAGAGGCCGTCCCCCCCTTCCCCCCTCCCCGGTAGCCTAACTCCCAACAGTGCTTCAAACTGAAGTCTTCCTCCTTGGGTTTCTGCTGACCACGGTTGCCATCATGAAAAGAAGGGGGTGGGTTGTATTTCATTCAGTGCGGGCTCTTTTTGTTTGGCTTTGGGAGGTGCTCTTTACTGGAGGAGGTGGAAACTCCTGCAAGAACACGGTGTCATCTGTAGGAGGAAAAGCATTGTGTGTGGGAGGGGGAGGGAAGCCTCAGGTGAGCATGGATCAGCCTGCAGTATAAAGCATTGTTTGATGCATTGTTGCATTCAGCATTTCATTAATTTGGAAAAAATGTCCCTATTTGCTCATCTGGCCTGGCAGATGGTCTGTGGAAAGAGGAGAATTTCTCTTCATTTTTTTGTGCATGTGTGTGATTGGGAGTACTGTGGAGTGAGGATTCAGTTGCTTTGTGACATACTCAAGGCATGTGAATGATCCTTGTCATTTGAGTGAGTGTTCAAAACCAGTGGCACATTGAAATGAGCTGCCTTTCAATATAACATTCACAGAAAAGGGAGAGGGAAGCTGTGTGGTCCTTCTATGAAACCCATAATTAAGAGTGAGTAGTGTCTTTATTGGACTACAGTACTAACATCTCAAAAACAGGCAAACTTTCAAGTGCTCCAGCAGCCTTCATTAAGCTGGGCATTCCAGAGTTTGGAGAGAAAAGAGACAGAAAAGTCCAGAAATCATGTTGGCCGGATGTTAACGCTTCAGGGTCTTGTAGTTTGAAGTTAAGTAATAAACTTTAGGCTGCATACTTGTAGAACCACTTTAATGTGTCATATGTCATTGGGGTAGTGATAATTGCAGAATCAGTTGTTTCATTTCAGGTCGCTCAGTGTCTTTTTCATTGCCTTATATTGAAATATATGGATCCTATTTAGATGGGAGTTGAGGCACTCAGGAATATGGCAGTCCATGTGTCAAAGAAATGGAAAAGATGATGTTTGGGCTTTCCTGTTTCACCTTCCCAAACTTTGCAAGGCCTGTTCTGGTGAAGAGTCCTGCAAGACTAGAAAGCTTGTCTTGGCAGGAGAGGAAGTTGGACACGTTCCATATGCATTGTCTCCAACACATTTTTAGTATCACCTGGCAGGACAAAGTTCCAAATAGAGTAATCCTAGAATGAGCTGGAATTTTTAGCTTGTACACATTACTGAAACAGCGACGTCTACATTGGCTTGGGCATATTGTGAGAATGGCTGACGGTCGGGTTCCGAAAGATCTCCTATATGGAAAATTAGTGCAGGGAAAGCGCCCCAGAGGGAGACCACAGCTGTGATACAAGGATATCAGCAAGTGGGATATGAAGGCCTTAGGAATGGACCTCAACAGATGGAAAACGTTGACATTTGAGTGTTCAGCAGGCTGAGGCAAAGAGGCAGTCCTGAAACCAGCAAAATCAGGGAGCTGGACACGGGACAGATTGTATTTGTCTTCAGTGTGGAAGGGATTGTCACTCTTGAATTGGCCCTCTCAGTCACACTAGGCGCTGTTCCAAGACCTCTGTTCAGAGCATGTTACCATAGTCTCTCGAGACTGAAGGATGCCTACAGTATTTATATTAGGCTACAACAAATAAAAATTCATTTGAGAAAGGTGTTGGTGGCAATCTATAATTTTTGAAGGATTGTATTCCTACATAGTGTTCTTTTTCTTATTTTTGTTGCACTCAAGTACACACAAGCCAACTGTATGTTTTTTATATTGCCCTTTGTTTTAATAATAATCATGTGCTATCAAGTCAGTTCTGACTTATAGCTACCCTTTTCAGGATTTTCCAGGTAGAGAATACTCAGAAGTGATTTACCCCCTTTTTCTGGAGGCCTCTGGGACTCTGCAGCTTGCCAAAATACAGCACATTTTTAATGATCACTAGCTTATACTCAATGGTAGCATCAGATACTTCTGCTCTGTAGTTTCTTAATGATAGACTGCCCTACTGCCAAACTGTGAAGCCTGTGTACATTTATTTGCATGAGAGATAGCCAAGAGAACAAAAGATGGGGGCGGGGTTACATTTTGAAGAAAAATATTTTGTACATATATTTCAGTATGTATGTCAGATGTCTTGATATTTAGAAAATATGTTCTTTCCAACAGGGTAGCAAAACATTTTTGCACAGTTTAGGAGCTAGTGGAGCCAGAGGTTGAGATTTCAGTTCCACACTGTGTATCCCAGGAGAGCCAACCTGTGGCTGCAGGTATGGCTGCAGCAACCAAGCTACTGCTGTGACTGGTGTGCTGGTCCGGCGGGGAGTGGGAGACAATCAGGCCATCCATCTATGCCAGGGAGCTTTGCATTCTTAGATCTAGTAGTAAGTCACAGCTAAATCATGCCCATTGAATCAGTGGAAATTTGGTGATTCAACTCTTCCATAAATTTCCTTGATTCAAATGGACCTACTCTAGTTGCAACTTATTCTTGGATTTCAGCCTCTGAGTGTTATCCTGAACATGTATGAAAACTTCCATTTGGATAGCCCAACCATTGTTATTCTATATTGTTTTCTGTTTTGAATTTTCAAAATGAGATGCTCAGGGTGGGTGCAAATTATATAATTTAAGAATACCCATAACAATGAAATGAGAACAAGTCAAATCAGCAGGTACTCAGCAGCATAGTATTCAATAGCAAAATTTAAGAACCAGTCAAGAGAGCTTGAGGAGAGAGACCTATTTGAATTTTCACAACTTCATCTCAAGATAGAAAATCATGTCATGAGCCCTTTTATTCATTGTTCTGGTGACAGGGCATGAAGCAAAACCTGTCTTTGAGATCTCAGTTAATAGGCAGAAAAATGTAGCAGGCCATGGTCCTTCAAGTAACCTAATCCCAGTCTGTCAAGCTAAGAACTCCAGTTTTTGCAGTGCACCAGTGAAGAGAGGTATCACAGTGAATGTTTGCATATACTAAAAGGTTAGTTAGCCTACTTGCTTCCCTCAGATGTGTGCAATTGCTTGTAAGTTAGTATATTGTCATTTTAGTATTTTAAAAAATTGAGGTTGAGGATAGACCTGAGTATTGAAAAATCACATGTTTGAGCTTTCTGCATGTTAAATTGGTAGACTTAAATTGTATGACGGAAACTTAATAAGGTCCAGAGAATTAATTTGTATGGGATGTGATTGTGGTATGGCTTTCTTCAAGAACATGTAGTTAATAATTGTGGGAAGCAGCTGCTAATAGCTGGCAACAAATACTAAGCATGTTCACAGTTAATTGGCACAGAATCTAGGATCATTTCAACAGAATGATGTTTTGTTTCTGTTCTACTTGAAGTGATTGGCTAAAGTTACAGTCCTTATTAAGCATTGCATTCCTTCTGTGTTCACCATTCAAATTGTGTAACATAAATTGGATTGAGGAGCAACTCTAGATACTTTTCATTATTTGCCTGTCCTGTTTCTTGGCCAGACTTAGGGCAGCTCAGAGCTCACAATATTCAGAAGATCAGATTCTATTTAAAACCTTCCAATTTAAACATAAGCCATCAGCATTGGCTTCTAGTGGTCCCCAGATTTTTGGCTTGTTTTTGTTGTATTATGAAGTTTATTTTCTCAGTGTTGAGAGCAGCCCCTGCATCTTCTTCCATGAAGACACCAAAAGTATTAACAGAAACAGGCTCTTTTATTGGAGCAACTCAAGACTAACAGAATCAATGTGGCTCAGCAACAAAACTTATGTAATACTATGGGCTCCAGGGAGTTAACTGCACTCCCAAATAGTTCAGGTTAACAGGACGAGCCCAAAAGAGTCTCTGTTGCTGGGAGGAGCAGAGCCCCACCTCCTCTACGAGCTCCAAAACACCTCTCAGGTGTGCCAAGCACAGGGAACTGCAGTGGTTCTTAACCTTTGTTACTCAGGTGTTTTTGGACTGTAACTCCCAGAAGCCTTCACCATCAGCTCTGCTGCCTGGGGCTTCTGAGAGTTGCAGTTCAAAAACACCTGAGTAACAAAGGTTAAGAACCACTGTTCTAGAGTATATAAGATACCATGATATAGTGTACTGATACAGTATATTGCAGAGTCCTATATGGTAAGTTGCTGGGTTGTGGTTGACAGTTTCTTTTGGAAAGAGAAGTATAAATTGTGTTTCATTTCTGTATTTAAGATATCTCTTAAGCTACCATCAGCATTGGCTTCTAGTGGTCCCCAGATTTTTGGCTTGTTTTTGTTGTATTATGAAGTTTATTTTCTCAGTGTTGAGAGCAGCCCCTGCATCTTCTTCCATGAAGACACCAAAAGTATTAACAGAAACAGGCTCTTTTATTGGAGCAACTCAAGACTAACAGAATCAATGTGGCTCAGCAACAAAACTTATGTAATACTATGGGCTCCAGGGAGTTAACTGCACTCCCAAATAGTTCAGGTTAACAGGACGAGCCCAAAAGAGTCTCTGTTGCTGGGAGGAGCAGAGCCCCACCTCCTCTACGAGCTCCAAAACACCTCTCAGGTGTGCCAAGCACAGGGAACTGCAACAGGGCGCTGAATTGAAGGCACTCAACTCTTTCTGGAGTAGAGTAACCTAGGCACCTTCCCCAGCTACTCCTTGGTAGTCGCCTCTAGCAGGTGCTATCCCATATGTGCAATACTTGTTGGAGGCAAATATTAACAATTACTACCAGCAAGAATGAGTCTCTACATTTAAAAATCATCATTTAAAACTAGTCTTACTGTCTAGTGATTTAAATCATGATTCAAATTGTGATTTAAATGGACTTGATTTAAATCTAATCCACTCTGCTCCCAACCATCTTCATTTCATGCAGAAAATTTAAGATGACAGATTTTAATTCATGTCTGCAAATTGTAAAAGTTAGAATATTTCAGGCACTTAGTTATTTGTATGTAAAATTAAAACTATCAACTTGTAATAGGAATATATGTGACTATGTTTCAATTGAGTTGCTTGTTTGCATTGGTGACTCCTATCTAGTTCACAGTGTTGTACCAGAAAATAAATCGTTATGTGCAGCTTAGTTAGTGACACACAATAATAAACGAATTAGAAAAATAAACATTTTTATTGCATTATGCCTTGGAGTCAGAAAGCTATTTGCTTCTTTGAAGAATGTTAGTGGAAGTTGACTCTAATATAAGGCATACTTCTTGTTTGCATTGGTGACTCCTATCTAGTTCACAGTGTTGTACCAGAAAATAAATCGTTATGTGCAGCTTAGTTAGTGACACACAATAATAAACGAATTAGAAAAATAAACATTTTTATTGCATTATGCCTTGGAGTCAGAAAGCTATTTGCTTCTTTGAAGAATGTTAGTGGAATTTGACTCTAATATAAGGCATACTTAGAATAGACTTACTGAATTGATTTGGAGTTTCTTAGTCACAACTACTGTGTTTCCCAAAAAACAAGACAGAGTCTTATATTAATTTTTGCTCCAAAAACACATTAGGACTTATTTTCAGGGGAAGTTTTAATTTTTTTTTCATGTACAACAATCTAAATTTATTCAGATATAGTCATGTTTCAATTGAGTTGCTTGTTTGCATTGGTGACTCCTATCTAGTTCACAGTGTTGTACCAGAAAATAAATCGTTATGTGCAGCTTAGTTAGTGACACACAATAATAAACGAATTAGAAAAATAAACATTTTTATTGCATTATGCCTTGGAGTCAGAAAGCTATTTGCTTCTTTGAAGAATGTTAGTGGAAGTTGACTCTAATATAAGGCATACTTAGAATTGTGTGTTTAGTCGTTTAGTCGTGTCCGACTCTTCGTGACCCCATGGACCAGAGCACGCCAGGCCCTCCTGTCTTCTACTGCCTCCCGGAGTTGTGACTTACTGAATTGATTTGGAGTTTCTTAGTCACAACTACTGTGTTTCCCAAAAAACAAGACAGAGTCTTATATTAATTTTTGCTCCAAAAACACATTAGGACTTATTTTCAGGGGAAGTTTTAATTTTTTTTTCATGTACAACAATCTAAATTTATTCAGATATAGTCATGTTATCTTCTGGTTGTTGCACAATGAGTCCCTGGTGGAGGGCAGTATTTCACTTAACTGGGGCTTATTTTTGGAGTAGGGCTTATATTACGAACATCCTGAAAAATCATACTAGAGATTATTTTCAGGTTAGGTCTTATTTTTGGGGAAACAGGGTAAGAAATCCAATTTCCTCCAATTTACTTTAATTGGGATTAACATTTTGTTTATCCTAATGAAGTTTGGACTTTCAAAAATAATATGCAATTTAAAGTATAAATTCATGTGAAATAGTACATAGTGACTAAATAGACATAGTCCTTGTGTATGGAAAAGCAGAACTAATATTTTCATAGTGTATATTGAAAACTAGGGCACAATTGTAGAGTGAAAATCTAAAAAGAAAGATCTGTGATTAAAATTTATTTTAAATGTTTGTAGTAAATTAATATTTAAAAATTAAATGGCCAGCTCATACAAGTAAAAATGGCAGGGCAGATAGCCCCTTCTTCCTGCACCACCTTCTGTGTTATTCTGGAGAATTTCTTAACTCTTTGGAGCAAATTTGGGGTAGGGCAAGTATGGCTAGGGGGCATTGGTGAAAACCAGACCATACAGATGGGGTTTTTGGAATAAAAAGACTTCCAGTCCCGTAATTGGCCAGAAATCCTAGACAAAATTATGGAAAGGAAAACCCCCAAATGAAAAGGAGATAATGCAGCTGTCTCTACATCTGTCGTATTCACCTGTTTGAGTCATAGGGAATCTTGTGACTACTACAGTGTAGTGATGTGCTTTTCGTAACAGATTGAAGTGGCAGTAGCACAGTAACGACTGCTCTACCTCTATTTGGTTTGGGTGCTTTCACTCCCATAATTCACTCTGGGGTGGGGGGTTCTGGCCAAATTATGGGAGTTTAAGTCCTTTGATTCTGAAAGTTCCATCCCTAGAAACCACTTCCTCTCTGCTTTTGTTAGCAGGTAGAATTGACTTGATGGCACAGAATTTTTATCATTGTTAGAGTCATTTACTAGATTCAGAAGCAAGGATGGGGAGACAGTGGCCTTCTCCCTGTTCTTGAACTGCAGTTGTCAGTATGCATGGTGTCATGTTGATCTGCAACAACTGTGTCGATATCAGACAAAAAACAAAAACCAAAACACACACATCTTAGCCTACTTTTGCACCATTCTTAAAAATCCTCAAAATTAGTGTCTGATAACTTCATATTAATAAACTTCATATTAATAAAAATATTTATTTTCATAATGTTTTTTGTAACTTAGTCCATACTGCTTAAGCTTTAAATAAGTTTGATGTTAGCTGGTATTTGTATTCTTATTGTTGTGTAAGAGTTGAAGAGAGCATAAAGAGTACAGTTTGCAGTATGAAAAGTTAAACAACATTGTCTCTGTGCTTAAATTCATACTGAGACTATATTATGAATTAGTGTCCTATAATATTGCTTTTTTGCTTTAATTTATGTTTACTGCAGCTCAAGAAGATGGCTTTCAAACATACATCTTCTTTTGAAAGTAAATTGGTAATCTCTTTGGATTGTTGCACAGAGAAGTACTGAACCGTTGCAGGTGTCAAGTGTGCGGTCATCTCAGTAAACTAGTTATTGAAGCTGACAAGTAATTGAATGATGCTGTGAAAACGCAGACCTTCTGGTCTTCTTTGCTGGGCTTGCATTATTTTATTTTTGCTTTAGGATTTGAGCAGATGCAAGAGGAAATCTTCGTTCAAAAGATATTTTGCTGCTACCAAAAATGAAAGTAATTTTCCTTCTCATCTTCTCCCCCACTAGAGCAAATTCGCTTAAAGAATTTAAGAAAAGTGTATGGAAGATGCCTGTGGTATCGATTACGGCTGTTAAAACCCCAGCAGAATATTGTTCCTACCATAAAGTAAGTTTGCTTTCAGTTCTAACGTTGCCTTTTACTTTTTTGGTAATAAGAACCATATTCATTTTAAAATAAAATAAAAATTAACTTTGCACAGTATGATAAAAAAAATCAGTGTTGTAACAGTAGGTGGCATCTGTAAAAAGTGTTGTAACAGTAGATGGCATGAGGAAGATAAACTCTAAATAATGAAACACATCTTCTACATAATGAAACAACCTGCACAATTCTAGAAATGAAATTAATAACGTATAACTGAGGAGGTATGCTAAAAAATTAGGGAAATATTTACTACCACTTTGTTTAATGGGCAGCGATGCTTTCATACAATTCACTTTATGTTCAGAAGCTGTATGCTCTAGAGATTCCTTTAGGATTGCTGTCTGTAATGATATATCTCCTTCAACTTTCAGTATATAATTTGGCTATATGTAACTTATTTTCAGAATTTAAAGCATTTGAAAACTGATAGTTTTAACTTTTTTAAAAAATTTCAACAGGAAGGTAATCCTGCTTGCTGGATGGGCGCTGTTTTTGTTTCTTGCTTACAAAGTTTCGAAAACAGACAGAGAATATCAAGAATACAATCCATATGAAGTGTTAAACTTAGACCCAGTAAGTAATATTTTCCAATGTTTAATACTGTAACCCAGTTTGATATAAATGTCTTTATACTCTCAAATATTATATCCAGTATTGTGGGAGTGACTTTCTTCTGTTTTTCCTTGATTTGGAAAAGCTAGAGCAAATTTGCAGGGCTGCAGTCAGGGGCTGGGAGACCCTTTATAACTGGTGACCTAGAGCAGTGATCCTCAACCTTGGGCCTCCAGATGTTATTGGACTACAGCTCCCAGAAGCCTTCACCACCACCTCTGCTGGCCAGGATTTCTGGGAGTTGAAGTCCAAGAACATCTGGAGGCCCAAGGTTGGGAACCACTGACCTAGAGAGAGCTAAGGGGAAAAGGAAAGTGTAGAAATTTCTTTTTCTATCCCATTTTTCTATCCCAAAATGGGTTAGAAATTTTCTAAAATGCTGTTGAGGACAGCAAGAACAAAAGTAAATTAGGATGACTGCATATTTATGTAAAATATTTAAGCATCTGAGTTTTCCAAAATCAGATTATATATATTTATATAGAATATATGGTCTTGCCCAGAGCTACACAGGCTGGCTGTTCTCCTGGGATGCACAGTAGGAACTGAATCCCCAAGCTCTGGTTCTGCTGCCAGATATCTAATTCACTGAGCTTTTTAGCCAAAATGAAACAAACAAAAAAAGGTTTCATTTACAATATACTTTGAATGGGAGAGTTAGACAATTCATTCTCATTGAACAGAAAACTTTCAATATTTTCCTTTGTTACAATTATTTATTGAATGGTGGTGAGAAATTACCGTAGGTTTCTGAGGTGCACATAAATGATAGTGTACTGCTCTTCACAATACAGTCCTAGCCATGTGTTTAATGGTAATAACTCCAGGTAAGAAAAGCATAGAATTGTAGCCTTAATGTACTTTATGTAACTAATATGAAACTTTTTCTCAACAGGGAGCAAGTGTGTCAGAAATTAAAAAACAGTACCGTTTGTTATCATTGAAATACCATCCAGATAAAGGAGGTGATGGAGTTATGTTTATGCGGATTGCTAAAGCTTATGAAGCGTAAGTTCTATGCATGGATAGGGTAGTTGATACAAGCTAACGTAGAGACTTATTAGATTAGTTAAGTTTCTTTCTTTTTTTCTTCAAGGAAGTGAGTTGTGCATCATAGATGTTTGTCCTTATGCTGATGAATATTTGTGCAGTATCCTGTGTAGAAAGCTGGTAATGTATTCGTTGTTCCTGGAACAACACATACAGTACCAGCCTTCTTCACAGGATACTGCACAAATATTCTTCACTACAAGGAAAAACATCTATGATGTACAACTTGCTTCCCTGAAAACAGATACTTCTTGACATCCTTATCTAAATCTTTGAGTCAGTTGGTCTGCTTTTGGCATGAACAGTTGCTGCAACACTAGGAAAATAAGATCAGTAGTGATTTTGTGGTTTCCTAAATGGTATACCTCTTAGTTTAATGTGTGCTGAAACACTGAATCTTAGGGTCATGATGTCAAAGTCAGCTTGAAAAGCATAATGGGAATTACACATCTTTATTTTCTTTTATAAATGACAGCTTGTTATGGCAGAACCTGGACAAAATGTGGTTAGTCTTTGTTGTGGACTAAGTGATCCTCAACCTAGTAGGCTTGTTGGGTTTGTTTTGACAAGTTTCATTTTCATTTGTTTTGCATACATGTCTAGGGAGCTATCTGAGCTTTTAAAAAACTCCTAGGAAAAAAGGATTTGAAATATTAGTTGTACTTGGGGTTGTATTCAGCATTTCATTCCACTTGCAGCTTCCACTGCCACTTTCCCCACTGCTTTAGAGGGTCCTCCAGCATTCCCAGACATATTTGTGGATTGACATAATGGATTGCACAGGGAAGGGGAAACAAATTAAAATCATATTCTCCATTCTGCCACTAGAAATGTTTCACTGGATGTGAAGCTTCCCACAGACAGAATAAGTCCCCCTATCTACTGGAAAATAATACTGGATTTAACTAAATATTTCATATAGCTCCCTTCTACCTATTCGTTTTGGCTGCATTCATAGGCAGATCTATGGAGATAATTGCTAAGTCTAGCAATGATAGTATCTTGAGACTCTCACATTGATGCAGAATGCATGTTTCCCCATGTCTAACATGTTACATGCCATCATTAAAATGTATGACCTTTTAAAACAAGCTTGTTTTAGGACTAGGCTATTTGAACTAAGAAAAAAAATCACCATGGAAGAAAATTATGAGGTGCTTTCTAACTTGCTGTCCTCCTTTTGTTAGCTTAACAGATGAAGAATCTCGAAACAATTGGGAACTATATGGCAATCCTGATGGACCACAAGGTAATTCTGATGCATATTTTTTAATTGTATCTCAGTTTGTCAGTACCTGAAGTTTTGTCCTATGGTGTTTTTTTATTATTATTCGGTTCATTGCAGATGTACTATTATTTCAGTCATTTTTGTACCAGTCCCCTTAGACTGAGAAGTAGTGACATGTCCCAGGATCATTTGGAATAACTTCAATGGCTCACATTAACATACAGTATTTTTTCATGCACTACATTTCATGGATTGTCATTCAAAAAGCCAGCCTTGTAAACTTACATATGTATTGGTTTTGGGGTTGTTAGATTACAACCTTATAGTAAGCACAGGCTGTCCATACAGCATTCTAGCTCATTAATGGGAACGAATGGTGTGGACATACATGTAGAAATGCAGGATTTTTAAAAATATTCTTGTACTACTTGTTGGAAGAATCAGAAATAGGTGGGCAGGCCTCAAATAGCTGCTCGTACAGTCACACATGGAGTTTAGCCTCTGTGCAGAACTAAGTGCAAGACCATTCTAGAGCAGGGGTCCTCAACCTTTTTGTAATGCGGACCGGCGGAGCCTCTGAGGGAGGTGGGGTGGCCCCTTCTGCTCGCGCTCTCCAAAGCTTGCACTCTCCAACCCACTGCTTCACCTGCGTGCCCACCCCACCCCTGCATGCGGGGGCATACTTGAAAGGGTGAGGAAGTGCGTAGCGGCAGCGGCAGCCTGGGAGTCTGAGCATGGCAGGGGGGCCATCTAATTAGCCACAAGCTGTATCTTCTCCCCTAAAGTTACTATCAGAACACAGATTGGTTCTATGAATCTTTAATTTTTAACAGAGAGCAGCTGCCCAACAGAGCAGGCAGGCTTGGGCGAGCTAGACCAGCGCCTTGCCCTGGGATCAGGGGGTTCTGCAAGCATGGCTGCGTTTTGCATGCTGTCTGGAGCAGCCACCTAGATCCCGAGCATTGAGCCCGCCTCCAGCCACGCTGGTGATGAAGGAGCTGGGGAGATGTATTCGCGAGCTGGGGAGAGTCTCCCATCCCAGCTATTTCCACCCTCACCAAAGAGCAGTCTCTGAGGGTGGCATGGAGTGGGCAGGCAGACCAGTTGTGAAGATAGCAACTCCCCCCCCAGCATCAGCCCCCTCGAGCCAAGCAGTGCCCAAGACTCGCAGCTAGATGGAGATGAAACATCACTGCAGAAGCAGTAAGGGTGCCAGGAAGCGGGAGGAAACTGAATTTCCAAGCAAGGCGGGAAACCTAGAGCTTTGTTCACACAGGCTTTTCCCAGTCCTCCCCCTCCCGCCGTCACAACATTCTCCTTGGCCCTTCCTTCTGCATGTGTACCACTCCTGCTCCTCTCCAGCCCTGTCATCTCCTTCCTCCTCCTCCCCCGCCACCTCCATCCCTTCCCCGCCCCTCTCTGCTCTATCCCAGGAGTTCCGAGCTCCTCTTTTCCTGAGGCTGCTTCGAAGCTCTGCAGGCGGATGGACAGCTAAGGGTCTGATTGTCTTTCCAGCTTGTGCAACAAGACAGGAGCGAGCGCTCCTACCACTTCCAAGAGGAGGAAGAGAAGAGCTTGGCAATGGGCTGGAGCAGTTCCTCTCTCTCTTTTTCTCTTGGGGAGAGATCCACATGTGCTGAAGGAAGAGTGCCTTGCCAGGGGCTTTTCTCTAGTCTTTCCGAAGGCTGTCCCTTTTCAGTTGGGGCTGCTGCTTTTGTAGAAACTTAGCAAGGTGGACCTAGATACAGTGGTGCCTCACACAGCGAGGTTAATCCGTTCCGGATTAACCCTCGCTGTGTGAAAACATTGCTGTACGGATCAAAAAAAGCCATTGGAATGCATTAAACTTAGTTTAATGCGTTCCAATAGCAGCTTTACTCACCATACAGCGATGTTTCTCCGATGGCCGGCAGCCATTTTCGCGCCCTCCCCTCGCTTAACGAGGGCGTGAAGACGCTGTGCGCGGCCATTTTGGGGCTTCCGGTGGCCATTTTGAAGCCGCCGAACAGCTGATCGGCGGGGCGCAAAGCGAAGGTCGGTGAGCGAACCGCTTACCGACCTTCGTTCTGTGATTTTGAGCCATAGGGGCCGTCGGTGGAACGGCTGGAACGGCCCCGTTGTGCGGATTCATCGTTCTACGGTGCACTCGTTGTGCGAGGCACCACTGTATTTCTCTTGGAGATTTCCCCTTCTTCCTCTGCGATTGCTAGGAACACGGGCCTGTGGCTTTGCTCTGCCCATGTTTTTGGCCACCCCCATCGTCGCTGCTGCCGGTGCTGGCGCCGGCCTGCGAAGCCAGAGCTCATACGCTCCCCCACGCGCTCCCCTCCCACAGCTGCTTTGCGTGCAGGGGGACATGCGTGAGGGGGTGAGGGAGTTCTCATCCTGGTGCTGGCACGAGCATGGGTGCATAAAGCAGCTGTGGGTAGGGGAGTGCGGGGGGGGGGGAGAGGTCTTCGCAGCCTGGTCGGGCTCAAGCCAGGGACCAGCAGTGGGGACCGGGGGTTGACAACCTCTGTTCTAGAGCTTGAGTCTTAGAACTGGCACTTTGGTTTCGTTTCCTCATGGAGATAATGTAAACCTGTGTGTGCCTTGAGAAGCTGAACCAGCAAAATATGTATACAGCTTATGTAAACATTTTGCTGTATTTTATAACTTTCCCTCTTTATTCTATGCAGCTACGAGTTTTGGAATAGCATTGCCAGCTTGGATTGTAGATCAGAAGAATTCTATTTTGGTAAGGTAACATTGTGTTTATTGCCAAATTATCTGTGTCAAGTTGAAGTCCCCAATATACATTGTGTAATTTTACATTGTTTCCTTTCCATAACCATTTGTGGAAAAGCTACAAGCTTTGCCTGCATAGTACATGTTAACCTTGGTTTTTAAATAGCCTGTTGTCTGGAAGGCTATACTCTTAACCAGTTCAGAATAGTGGCTCAGAATTAACACATGCCTACCTAGCTCAGCTTAGCATGGTGCAATGTAATCTGCCTTTGATTTGTTTGAAATTGAGTCCTGGAGGATCTTTTGTCTTTATAGAGAAATGTTTAGTATAGTTGGGAGATCTATATTAATTTAATCCTCCCTTTGAGATTTAAAAACTCAAAGCAGTGTAAGAATCCAAATATAGGCAATTTGGCAACTCTTTCCTGGTTATGTCATAACTTAAATGATAATAGCATTGATAAAGTGATTTGTTGACTTTGCACAGGACAGTTGACAATTCACAGTTGCTGAAGAGCAGAGTAGTTGAACCTTATTGGAACTATTTGGTTTGTTCTATAGTTTGGGGGATTATTTTTATTTATTATGTTGGATTTGAAGGGTGTGGGGAGTCTGGGTTTATATAATATTGTAATGACTGCCCAGAGTACGTAGTAGTTCCACTATGTTGGGTGGGTTATAAATGTTTTAAAATGAATAAATAAATGATGTTGTAAGGCTGGTGTAATGCTAGTGGTCAGGATATTTTTCTCCATGTAAGCTGAAGAACTGCTCTGGAATGTTGCCATCCCCCTGCAGCAACATTTGTGGCACATGGGGATTTGGATGGAGATTCCCCCCCGCCCCATGATGTTGATGGAAGCCTACAAAGGAATAATCACATTGGGTTTTGTCCTACATATACTTTTCCTTTTCCTCCCCTTCCCCTTCTTCTTCTTCCTCTTCTCCCCTCCACCTCCACCTCCACCTTCTTCTTATTGACATGTGTCTCTTGGAACAGTTTAAAACTGCCAAATTAAAAAAAAGTGCCTTTCAGTGTGAGGCTTATGAAATAGTGCCAAATTGTTTGTAAGCTTCTGAAATATTTGCTGCAATTCTCTTCAAATGTCTTAAAAGATGGCTGTAGCAGTTATGATTTTGTATCACTTTGCCTATCCTATGCAGCTTCTATTACATTTATTAGAATATATTTGATATTTCTTCTTTCCCTTATATCCCTTTAGGTTTTGCTGGTTTATGGATTAGCATTTATGGTTATTCTTCCAGTGGTTGTAGTAAGTATTGCTTTAAATATAAGGGACAAGGTGCATTGTGGTAAAAAGTGAAACAGTGTAAACCTTTGGCTCACAACCATTCCCTCTTCCTTCCTAATATCATGGAAACCTACTTTTATGAATAAATGACTGCTGTATGAAATGAACAGTTTGTTCCTGTTTACTGGACATTATAGAATAACATTTGCCTTCCCTTTCTGACATTCCAAGTATGCTATGTTTCCTGATAGTCCTTGCACCATCAGCCTATTGCTTTCTGTTTTGCTCACTTCACAAGCATTAGAACAATACATACCTTAAGTGTCTCCATTCTTTGCAGTCTGTTGAGAACTCCAGATGCTTTTTCCAAAGACTAGATTCTTTGGAGATTTTTAACTTCTTATTTTGCAAAGCTAACTCCAGCCTAGATAGAACTGTGGGGCTTTCTGTACTTTGTATTTAGTAAAAGGGTCAGAAAAAAGGATATATCAGTCTATTAGTTTATTTCAGTTGTTTCTGTATATCACTAAAAGCAGTCAATTTTTCTGTTTTACATGATTTAGGGTTCCTGGTGGTATCGATCAATACGTTACAGCGGAGATCAGATTCTCATCAGAACAACCCAGATTTATACCTACTTTGTTTACAAAACAAGAAATATGGATATGAAAAGTAAGTCTTACAGTGCCAGTTAAACATAAAACGTTTGCAACAATTTATTTCACTCTTGTTCACTGATAAAAATATAGTTTTCCTTGGCATGTCTAAGTAACTTGTGGATTATGATTTTTAATAGTCGTTATGTTGTACTGCCTGATTCTTTTACAGCTCTTTTTCCAGAAGGCACAGTGGGGAATTGAATTCCCAACCTCTGAATCCACAGCTAGATACCAAACTCTCACTGCACTGCTATTTATTTATTTAAAATATTTGCAGCCCACCTTTCTTTTCAAGAGGACCCAAGGTGGCTTCCAGAATTAAAACAAACAATATTAAAAGCTTTTCTAAAAACTTGCCATTACCTTGTATTGTTCTGCCTGATTCTTTTATGGCAGCCCTTTCACACCTTAGATCAACCCTGTTGGCAAAAAAAGGTTGGAATTACAGAGGGGGGACCCATGGCAGGTTAAAATTGCTTTGGGTTGTGTGTGGGAAGTAGACTGCATTTTTAACAGACGTGCTGAGTCTGTACGTAGGCCGTACCTGCTTCAAGCATCATCTAGAGACTGATGTGAATGATTTTTTCTCCTATACTATCCATTAACACTTTAAAAATGTGTTAGTATTCAGTCCAAAAAGTTTCTTCTATATGTTGAAGGTAAATTCCATATATGTAAGTGATGATTTACAATCATCATGAGTTATACCACTTTTTTCTTTGCAGGGCTCATAATGGTGCTAGCAGGAGCTTCTGAATTTGACCCACAGTATAATAAAGATGCAACAAGCAGACCTGCAGACAACATTCAAATACCACAGGTTTGCAGTTACTGAGAGATGTTTTACTGTTTGCATTGGGGTTTAAATGTCCTTTACTTACCTTTCCCTTTTTTTCTTGTTTTAGCTCATTCGAGAAATTGGGGGCATAAATTTAAAGAAAAATGAACCTCCACTTACTTGCCCGTACAGCTTGAAAGCCAGGGTGCTCTTACTGGCTAATCTTGCCAGAATGAAAATTCCTGAAGCGCTTGAACAAGGTATCTATCTTGCTTTAGAAATCATGAAGGTGTAGGGCTCAGGCCAGATGATAAAGTGGATCTTGACAAGTTATAAAATGTGTATTTCAACCTTGTTTATTCCTCTGAACCTATGACCTAGGATGTATTTGCACTCTGTCTATCTGTTATTTTATATCCAGAAAATGAAAAGCTACTAATATGCAGCTGTCTGTGTTTCTTCTAAATCTGCTGTGGAGACTTGGAAGAATAGATTAAATATAGATTTGGAACCTTTAGAACAGATTTCAAGGTATGCAAGGGGAGAAGTCCCATTGTATGATGATAGTTCTGCTTGCCCATAGGCAAGGTTCAAACAGCTGTTTGACATCCTGGACTGTTCAGTATCTCATGTCTTTCAGATCAGCAGTTTGTCTTGAAAAAGTGCCCTGCATTGCTTCAAGAGATGGTTAATGTAATCTGTCAACTGATAATCATGGCACGTAGCCGTGAAGGTAAGAATGAGTCTTGCTTTAATTTTTTGTGCCTTCTACAAGATATTTGAAATTTTGCCCTCAAAACTGGTTGTCAACTGCTCTAGACAAATTATTAGGAAAATGAGATAATATTGCTGCTCTGGCATATCCTGTGAGGAAGGAGAAACCTTGAATTTATTCCTAAATGCTGTGATGCAATACTGGTATTTAATTCCACCCCCTGGAAGCTTTTATTGATTCTTCTTGCGTTATTACCAAAATATCATGAGCTATAAAAATGATAATAAAATCAAGTTCCAGCTTTGAAGAGTACAAATAGAATATGGGTTAACATGAGTATGGTTTCTGACAAAGAGCAGTGTTTTAGAAAGAAGCTTCCTTTTTCATAATTGAAAGTGAAGCCAGAAAGTATATTCTAGCTTCATTAATATATTCAAGACCATCTTGGGATAGTCGTGTGAGTTGCTTATTGTACGAGATGCCTTTACTGATCCATTGTTGCACATTCACACTCGCAGTTGAGTCCCTCATATATTTTTAATCCCACTCCCTCAGAAAGGGAGTTCCGTGCTCCCTCATTGGGGTCCCTGGAAAACTGCATGAAACTTTCACAGATGACTGTCCAAGGGCTTCAGCAATTTAAATCTCCACTCTTGCAACTCCCACATATTGAAGAGGACAATCTCAGACGGGTCTCTAATCATAAAAAGGTAAAACATTAAAGAAAATCTTGTGCCTTCTTAAAACTAACTAGCTTATTCTGCAGATTTAATTCTATGAGAGGCTAGTTCAGGTAGGTTTTCATTGCAAAGAGCTGTATTCAGGGCCACACGATGAAAGAGGAAGCTAGTGAGGACACAATTTTTAGGCAGGTGTATTTCCATACCTGGATAATGCAGCTAATATTTTCTATACCAGGTGGCAGCAGCAACAGTAGCCATTCTTTCAAATTGCAGTTATTAATTCTCTGACTGTGTGATGTTAAGTGGGTGCTGAATGCCAGATTTTAACAACACAAGAGAGAACTGTCTGTTCCGACCACAGTTGAGTTTGTAGCAAATCTGCATTTACTGTTGTTGCTGTGGCTTCTGCTACAGTTCAGAAAGGTGGATTGAAGAGTTAGTAGATTTGCTGTTAGTATGGTTCAAAGGGAAAGAGGGTTTGAAGCTAATGGGAAAAGGGGAGCATAGCCACACCTCCAATTTCTTCTTCCTTGCAAAGGTTTGTGGCCCTGCTATTTGTACTAATACAAGTACATTTTAAGGAAAAGCCTGCCATCTTTTGTTGGGCAATCACTTTGAAAAAATTATTTGTAAATATACTTTTTTCACTTCCATTTTTACCTTTGTTTAGAAAGCTTGTTGAGGAAGCATTTATGATGTTTTGTTCCATGTGTAAATTATGGGCTTTCATTTTAAATCTTAACAGAAAACCAGGTTTTGTAACAAATTTACTAACTTTTGTAAATCTTGATATGTTAATAGTGGCTTGTGCAAAATTTTGTATGCAGTGAAGTTCATTGATATTCCAGTTGCATATTTTCAACAGTCTTTGGATACAAAATCATATATAATAGAAGAAATAAAGAATTTATGTATAATATGTGTTCACACAGTAAAAATGTGTATTTTTTTCTTTTTTAAAACTCAGTATAAAATCAAAACAATCCAAGACTTAGTGAGTTTAAAAGCATCAGATCGTCACAATCTATTGCACTTTCTTGAAGATGAAAAATATGAAGAGGTTATGGCTGTTCTTGGTAGTTTCCCGCATATCACCATGGATATAAAACCCCAGGGTAAGTAGTGTTGTTGTTCATAGTTTCTTCTCATTTGATTATTTGGACTGTACCTATGGATTTCAAGTAGCATATGGAATATGTTATGGATTGTGACTACTTTTGATAGGTTATGTGAATTTATTTGAAAGAGTATAGAAGAATAGTTGAAAATCTCTAATCTTGATCAAATATGTGTGCCTTATGATTAGAATAAAGACCAGAAATTAATGAAATTGTGGTCCTTTCTAGCCATCCCTCTTTTTTTTTCTCCATTTTGCATTTCTTGCACTGTATCCCTTTGTTTTCTCATACAGTATATTTGCCAGTCCAGCTGAGGATTTAAGCCTCAAACATTTTCTGATGCTTTTTCCTTCAAAGACATTCTTAAACAAGAATAATCTACTTTGATATCACCTACTCACAAAAGAGCAAAGGTATAAGGGAGTAACCAGAACAAATTCATATGCCTATTTCTCCCCTCACTCTTTTTACTTTAGTTTTGGATGACGAAGATAGCAACAACATCACAGTAGGATCACTGGTCACAGTTTTGGTCACTCTTACAAGGCAGACAATGACAGTGAGTACTATTTATTTGTAGACATTTTTCTTGTACCTGCTGGAGCCCCTTGCCTCTTTCTACTTCTGTAGTCCTTTTTACCTCTTTTTAGGAATGGAAGCTCTAGCCTTGGTGGAAAACCAGTGTGGAAACTTCCATATTGGCTGGACAAGGCATCTGAGATTAGAGTGTTTTTGATAGTCCTGGAGGAGACTTTTGATATGTTTCTTGGCTGAGGGATGTGTTCCTGAGACCATAGTATTACAATCTTTGAGATTTTCAAGCAACATAGGTATTTGACATGAGCTTTTAAATATTAGTACCACGCAGTGGTGACATTTTATGTTTCAACTTGTTAAAAGAATTAAGCCTCTTTTTCCATTTTTTATTTTAAAACAAAAACAATTATAACAACAAAAATAGAAAAGTACAAAAATACAAATAATAGTGCTAATTGAGACTACATTCTAATGTGCACCCCATACCATGGGACCCCATTGAACAATTTTTATTGCAAATTTCCTTTCCAAAATTGTATAGGTTGTTGCTTAGAGGCTTTCCTCTTTCCTTTCACTAATATTTTAATTGCCCTTTTCCTCTTATCTACAAACCTTCAAAACAGCTTGAGCGTGGTACCTTTGTTGATAAATGACAAAATCTACCAGCGAGTTCCATTTATGAATGGTGATTGCAAATCCAAAACTACAGATTTATCCTCTTTATAGCTCATTGCATATAGTTTAGTTGCCTCGTACATGCAGCTAACTGTGGCTAATCTTTGATCTCCTGAGGCATGTCTTGGTTGTGTGCCTTGTCATGTAGCCAGTTGTGCAACCACGATGTACCCTGACACCTCATCAATTAGTTGCAGAAAGTTATGTAAACGTTACATGAGCACCAATAAAGTTTAGCCATTGGTTAGCCAATTTTCTAGATCAGAAGGGCAGATACCAGATTTTAAATTGGAAATGCATGTTCAGAAACATCGGTTCCCCTAATTCTTTTAAGTGTGCATTCCCCTGGAGCCATTATTTTTGTATCTTTCTTTAGGAGTAAAAGAACAGTACAGAAGCCTGAAGTCTATCTGTCCTTCTCTAGATTTGCTGTTGAATGAAAAGTGCCCTTTCTTAATAATGAGAATTTTAAAGTTAGAGTTCAGTGTCTTCCCTAATATTTTTGTAGAATATTTAATTGTTGACTGTTCTTTCACAAGAAGACTAATAGATTTCACTTGTCCTTCTATTCAGGAAGTGTTTGAGAAGGAGCAATCAACATGTTCAGCTGAAGAGCAGCCTGCAGATGATGGGGTATGTTGAAAATGAATTACTGATTACATTAATTTTATCAAGTCCTTAGATTCACCTGAAACATTTTTATTGGAAAGCTAGCTGTGTAGGAAGTATGGTCTGCTTCCATTTCCATGAGTACAACATGAAGCACCCTACTTCTGGCAGAACAGCGAGGTATCTCTTAGAACAGGGGTCCCCAACCCCCAGTCCACAGCCCGCTGCCAGTCTGTTGTTGCCTTTGCAGGACTGGGCAACGGAGGCAGATCTCTTGCCCCCCTGCACACATCCCCCCCATATGCCCACATGCAAGCACAACCTGCCCACCCGCACGCATGGGTACCCTATCCACCCACATGCAAGTGCACCCTGCTCACCCATGAGTGTGCCACACTCACTTGCACATGTGCGCAAGTACACCCCTTACCTAGGAGCATGCCCCACCCACCCGCGAGTGTGCCCCGCCCCCTCAACCAGTCCACAGTTTAGAAAAGGTTTGGAACCACTGTCTTAGAAGATAGAACAGATCTACCTCACCTTCTAAATTCCATGTATAGCAGCGATTCCTGAGTTCATATATTAATTTATTGTATCATTTGTAAACCATCTTTCTCTCACTGAGGAGAACCAAGGTGGCATTTAACAATGTTAAAACAAGAGACACTAAAAGTGCAATAAGTTACAGATTAAAAAACAATTAAACATGCAGTGATAATTAAAAACCCATTAATTCATTAAAAAGCATTTTAAACTTAAAGACACACTTAGAAAAAAAAACCCCAATATATCTTTTATTGGTGGTTTCAAATCCTTAAGCTAGCCAAATGGACTATATTGAAGAGATAATACATAAATGTTGTAAGTAGATACATTTTTAAATGATAGTCTCAGTCCTGATATTTATCAGTGTTCTTGAGTACTAGCTATCATGTGGTAGCCAGCTTCCAGAAAGGTAGCTATTCTCAACTGAAGTGGTCAAAGGAAGGCCAGAAGACTTTTCATACAGGCTGTTATCTTCCCACAGATAGAAAAATGTTCTGTTCAGGCTGTCTGTTTAAACTAGCAGACACTGACAATATTAAATATTCCTTGTTAACTTTGTAGCAAGGTGATACTAACAAAGTGAAGAACAAAGGATGGCAACAGAAGACGAAAGGGGCAAAGAAGGCTTCAAAATCAAAGAAGAAAAAACTTGTGAAGAAGAAACCTGCTCCTGTACCTCTGCAACAGACAAAGCAGCAGAAGCAAAAGCAACCAAATGGAGTAGCTGGAAATGTATGTATCACTTCAAATGGATTTGATGGGTTCTGTCTTAGGATTTAATAAAAAGTTTGTAGAAAAACATTTTCCTGAAAAAGTCTCATGAGTGCTCCTGGCAAACAAAATTGCCTGTAAATTGTTGAAAGTAGCAGGAATCCTATTGGTCTTTTTAAAAAAAGTTTGTATGTGTTACTGTATCTAATTGTGGCTAATTGATGATGTGCTGGAATGCTTCTCAGTTCTGCAGTCTAGTATGTGACTAGGCACCTGAATGTGACTTACCCTGGCACCTTGTTAATTAGCCACAGTGCACAATCCTTATATGAACATCAGTAGATTTCTGGTCATTAATAAGTACATCACCTCCCTGTGCTGGATGAAAATCCCTTTATTTTTTTAACTCATCGCTAGGTCCCAGTAAAGACTGACAGACAACCAGACCTTCTGGGGAGAAGAGCCCTGGTTGGCTGCAAAGTGCTTCTTAGCAATGGTGAAAGTAAGACAAGTTAAAACTAGACCAGACTTGGGAGGGGAAGGGGCTGAATCAAGGACTGCATGAGCAAACTTTACCTGTTGTGCAAGCAGTTTTCTTTTCCCCCTCAGTGTGGGAGGATTTCAGTCTGCTAATGGTATCCATTCAGCTAGTGAATGGGCAAAACTGTATGGAAGCTCAAGTTCCTTTTTCATGTTTTAAACACTATTATTTTGTAGCATGGCTTTATTTTTTTTATTAGCAATTATAAATATCAATTATCAATCTTTTTGTAGGAGGTTCTCTATCATAAGTAATGCAATAAACAGTTTGGTTCAACGAAGTATAATGACTATGATGTACCTTACTGTAGTTCTATTTTTAAAGCTTAATCTGTTCTGAGTAGTATCACTGTTTAGAATGCAAAAGAATCACACCGTTGCCCTTTTTTATTTAGGAAATTGTCAAGGAGGAAGATGATGATGTTTCTGATAAAGGAAGTGAATCTGATGAAGATGACACAAATAGAGACTCTTTAAGTGACAAAGATGATGGAAGTGATAGAGATTCTGACAGAGAACAAGATGAGAAACAAAGCAAGGATGATGAAGCTGTAAGGCTTTTTTTCCCAAATTATCTGGTGGAAATTCTGTGGGGCTGGAGAAATAGCATGGTGGTCAGTTGGTCGAGCCATGTTTATTGGAAAATGTCTCTTGAATTTAAAGAAATCCCTTTAATCCACAAAGGAGTGAACGGAATATTGTTTCGTTGTCTGTAATGCTATAGAGATCATAGAGGAATCTGGACGTTTTTTGTAGGTGCCTTGTCATAATGGATTAGGTTTCTGTAAATACACCAAAATCTGTTTCAATATTGAATGCTGAGATAATATTCTGAGCATCGTATTGTATGACTTTGCCAGCACTTGGTTCTAGAGCTAGAATTTCAGAAGACTGAGTCTCCCTAGTAACATTTAAAATATGTTCTTACTTCCTATTCTAGGCTATTTATTTTAATGTGATACCAGAGATAAGGTGAATGCTGTAGAAGTATGGTACTGAAAAGATAGCACTATGAGCTTGATTGTTCCCAGACTTTGTTTCAGAATAACTCATTTTCTCTGTTCTCATAGATGTCAATAATATTCAGATGTGTTTTTACTTTGTTCTATCATTCTGGACTATTACTTTTTGAAATGCTACACAAATGAGCAGTGTTAACTATACTGAATTCTTTTTGTGTCTCCATCAGGAGTGGCAAGAATTACAGCAGAGCATACAGCGAAAGGAACGTGCTCTTTTAGAAACCAAATCAAAAATAACACATCCAGTTTACAGTCTCTACTTTCCTGAGGTCAGCAAAAGATAACAAAGTAATATTGAAATCAAACATTTATCATATTGAGAAATTACAATGACAGTTTGCCATTTTGACAAAGTATAATGTCAACTTTAAGTATCATCATAGGTCAGAATCCTGTTGATTGATTACACTGGTGTAAGTGCAGTGGTAAAATGTGCAACAGAAAACTGCCATTATCCAACAAGTTGCCATTTGTACCTCATGATGAAGGAAACAAGTAGTGACATTAACCAGCAGCAGTTTCATAGAATCATGAAGTTGGAAGGGGCCTATAAGGCAAATGAGTCCAAATCCCTACTCAGTGCAGGAATACAGATCAAAGAATATCTGCCAGGTGGTTGTCTTAAGTTTCTCTTGAATGCCTCCAGTGTTGGAGCACTCACTACCTCTCGAGGTAATGGGTTCCACTGTCTGTCTTACTACTCTTAACAGTTAGGAAGTTTTTCCTGATACTGAACCGAAATCTGGCTTCCTGTCACTTGAGCCCATTCTTGTGTGTCCTGAGATGATTGAGAACAGATCCTGTCCCTCCTCTGTATGACCTTTCAAGTATTTTGAAAACTGCTATCATATTTCCCCTAAGTCTTGTTTTCTCAAGGCTAAACATGCCTACTTCTTTCAGTCTTTCCTCCTAAGGCTTGGTTTCCAGCCCTCTGGTCATCCTGCTTGCCCTTCCTCTGAACTTGTTCCAATTTATTGGCATCCTTAAAGTGCAATGTCTAGAACTGAACATAGCACTCAAGATGAGATGTAACCAGTGTCAAATAAAGGGGAACTAGTACCACATGGGATTTGGAGACTATACCTCTGTTAATGTACTGCATTAATGCTACTGCTATTGTACTTGATGGCAGCATATAATGAGCAAATAGGCTTATGGCTAGCTACAATCATTTTAAAAAAGAGATTTTCTGATCTACTAAAGTGCTTTCCAACCTTGAGTCCCCATATGTTCTTGGACTATCACACCCAGAAATACTGGCCTGCACAGCTTGTGGTGAAGGCTTCTGCGAGTTTAGTCCAAGAACATCTGGGGACCCATGGTTGGGAACCATTGCTTTATATTTAGAAGATTTGTCCTCTAAAATGAGATGGTCCTCAGAAGACTGGGTCTCATCAGTGGCATTTTAAACACATTTCTGTTTCGTGTGTGTGTGTGTGTGTGATTTATTGGTGCTCTGCATACTTAATACTCTTACAAATTCCCTTACAGTGGTATTTTAAACACATTTCTGTTTCGTGTGTGTGTGTGTGTGTGATTTATTGGTGCTCTGCATACTTAATACTCTTACAAATTCCCTTACATATTCAAGACAGTTTCTCTGTAAGTGCTGTTTTGATAGTATAGGAAGTGGCAATCCATGAAATCTGCTGCTATTCTTGATTATGACCATTCTGTTTTCTTGATAAAAAATATTGTTTTGCTAAAGTAGGGGCTGCATTTGTGGAACCTTTTGATATGCAGCCTCCCACTTTATCCCTCCCTCTCTGTGAGTAGGTGAACAAAACCCATAAGAGGAGAGTTTTACATGATATCTGAACCCAAGTTTATGGCTTATTGCATGCAAATGAGGGAGGATTTCATAAGCCAACAGCAGACTCTGATTTAAAGCTGGCTTATGATCATAGCTTGTTTGAGTATATTTGATCATCATGTCACATTCTGACATCACACAAGGAAAATCACCTGAAGGGGACAACAAACACACCTTGTGCCCCTAAGCCAGTATATCTGCCTCTTATGTTGAAATGAAGCTTAAATCTTCTAGTCATACATAATTTTTGAGAGTATATTTAGGAATTGCACAGATTGCCTTTCTGTTCAGCGCAATACACATGCTGGTTCCTTGGCATGCCTGCATTTGCTCTCCATCTGTTTTAAAAGGAATGTTGCCCACTTGGCAGGTAGTTGTGCCAGCTTAATTCAGGCAAGTTCTCTAGATTTTAACAATGATCTACTAACAAAATAAATACTTAGGACAAAAATTAACATCTTCCTTTTCAAATAGTGTCAAATATGGAGACCACATGCTTAGTTTTGTCTGATACCTAGGGCTAGGCTATGCATGTCCTTGAAAATATGCCTGATAATCTTACTAATATTGGCTTTCTGTTAACAGTTTCTTCTTTGTCCATCTGTCTAATAATATGCAGAAGGCTGTAACTGGCCTTTGTGATATTTTAATGATACAACAGTATTTATTTTTTGTAAACAATGTCCCTGTTTAATCCCTGATTAGACAGTGTGCCATTCAGAGGGCAAATTAAGGCAATTCACCTTTCGCTTGACCTATTTTGTGGATATTGGAAATAAACTGTAAACATTCTTGAGCTCTGCTTGAGAGAAAGAACAGAATAATGTAAAAACAAGTGGGACCTGTTAGAAAATCTGACAGGCATACCCTTGTCCTCAGGGACAAGACAAACATATTCTACTCTAGGAAACAATAGACTAGCAACAGGAAGTATTTCAACTGTTCGTGTCTCCTCTATTGGTTTCTGTGGCCTCTGGGCTCCTTCAAACCCATACAGCTAAATTTAAAACATGCATAAATTCATGTATTGGTCACAAAGCGACTTTAAAACAAATATTTCCTACTAGTTTTCAGCCAGTATGCCTATTTTCAATTCCATAGAAAATGAACATTGTCTTAAGGATTTAGACCAGAAGTGAGCTTTTAGCCTTCCAGATGTTACTAGCCTGCAGTTCCCATTAGCCTTAGTTATTGTTTAGTCGTTAAGTCGTGTCCGACTCTTCGTGACCCCATGGACCAGAGCACGCCAGGCCTTCCTGTCTTCCACTGCCGCCCGGAGTTGTGTCAAATTCATGTTGGTAGCTTCGATGACACTGTCCAACCATCTCATCCTCTGTCGTCCCCTTCTTCTCTTGCCTTCACTCCTTCCCAATATCAGGGTCTTTTCCAGGGCGTCTTCTCTTCTCATGAGATGGCCAAAGTACTGGAGCCTCAGCTTCAGAATCTGTCCTTCCAGTGAGCACTCAGGGTTGATTTCCTCAAAAATGGAGAGGTTTGTTCTCTTTGCAGTCCAGGGGACTCTCAAAAGTCTCCTCCAGCACCACAATTCAAAGGCATCAATTCTTCGGCTGTCACCCTTCTTTATGGTCCAGCTCTCACATCCATACATCACTACAGGAAAAACCATAGCTTTGACTATGCAGACCTTTGTCGGCAAGGTGATGTCTCTGCTTTTTAAGATGCTGTCTAGGTTTGTCATTGCTTTCCTCCCAAGAAGCAGGCGTCTTTTAATTTTGCGGCTGCTGTCTCCATCTGCAGTGATCATGGAGTCCAAGAAAGTAAAATCTGTCACTGTCTCCATATCTTCCCTTTCTGTTTGCCAGCAGGTGACGGGACCAGTGGCCATGGTCTTAGTTTTCTTTATCTTGAACTTCAGACCATTTTTTGCGCTCTCCTCTTTCACCCTCATTAAGAGGTTCTTTAATTCCTCCTCACTTTCTGTCATCAGAGTGTTAAAGAAACTATGGGACATGGCAGAGTTGGACACTCTTATCAGAAGCATTGCGGGAACAGCCAAGAGATTATGTAAAACAAAGCTGGGGACTAATATATCTCTGGGCCCAGAAGAGTCCGGGGGGGGGGGGTACTTCAGATAGAGGGGTTAGTTTAGTTTTTTTTTTCCTTTGCTGTATGGTCTTTTTTTTCCCCCGTCTCTTCGTTTTGGTTTTCTTTTTCTTTTTTGGTGTCTTGTGGTTTTATGTATGTTAGAGACTATCAATAAAAAAAAGAGAGTGGTATCATCTGCATGAGATGGTTGATATTTCTTCCGGCAATCTTAATTCTGGCTTCATCCAGTCCAGCCTTTCACATGATGTATTCTGCATATCAGTTAAATAAGCAGGGGGGCAATATACAACCTTGTCGTACTCCTTTCCCAATTTTTAACCAATCAGTTGTTCCATATCCAATTCTAACTGTTTCTGTCCCACTGATAGATTTCTCAGGAGATAGATAAGGTGGTCAGGCACTCCCATTTCTTTAAGGACTTGCCATAGTTTGCTGTGGTCCACACAGTCAAAGGCTTTTGCATAGTCAATGAAGCAGAAGTAGATGTTTTTCTGGAACTCTCTGGCTTTCTCCATAATCCAGCGCATGTTTGTACTTCTGGGAGTTCTCAGTCCACATACTGCTGAAGCCTGCCTTGGAAAATTTTGAGCATAACCTTACTAGCGTGTAAAATGAGGGCAATTGTATGGTAGTTGGAGCATTCTTTGGCACTGCCCTTCTTTGGGATTAGGATGTAGACTGTTTCCAATCTTCTGGCCACTGCTGAGTTTTCCAAACTCGCTGGCATATTGAGTGTAACACCTTAACAGCGTCATTTTTGAAGGTTTTAAATAGTTCAACTGGAATGCCATCGCCTCCACTGGCCTTGTTGGGAGCCATGCTTTCTAAGGCCCACTTGTCTTCACTCTCCAGGATGTCTGGCTCAAGGTCAGCAACCACACTATCTGCGTTGTCTGGGACATCCAGATCTTTCTGGTATAATTCCCTTTGTATTCTTGCCACCTGTTCTTGATGTCTTTGCTTCTGTTAGGTCCCTACCCTTTCTGTCCTTTATCATGTATATCCTTTAATATTTCCAATTTCTTGAACAGACTTTCCCCCCCTTTTAATTATTTTCCTCTATTTCTTTGCACTGTTCATTTAAGAAGGCCCTCTTGTCTCTCCTTGCTACTCTTCGGAAGTCTGCATTCCATTTTCTGTAATTTTCCCTATCTTCCTTGCATTTTGTTTCCCTTCTCTTCTCTCCTATTTGTAAGGCCTCGTTGGGCAGCCACTTTGCTTTCTTGCCTTTCCTTTTCTTTAGGATGGTTTTTGTTGCTGCCTCCTGTACAATTTTACGAGCCTCCATGCATAGTTCTTCAGGCACTCTGTCCACCAAATCTGGTTCCTTAAATATGTTCTTCACTTCCACTGTCTATTCATAAGGGATTTGATTTAGATTATATCTGACTAGCCCAGTGGTTTTTCCTACTATCTAGAGGTCTACTAATGATCTACAACTATTCTAGTAGGTGCTCCCTTATAGTGTGGTATTTTGCATATCTTCTGTTATTTGATGCCCTCTGGAGGTTTCTCTTCTTTTTGACCTTTGCATTGTCTACACTCGGAACAACTGGGGAAATCTGTATGACTGTGATACTCTGTGGCCATTTGCTGGTTGGGGCTGATGGAAGTTGAGTTCAGTAACATCTTATGAGCTACAGATTCCCCATTCCTAGTCTGGAAGGTGTCCCTTTTATCTATATAAGTTCTGTAGTAATGAGGTGCAATAGCAGTGAAGCCAAGTAGGCTATCTTGTGTGACTGTCTTACTGGAATTAGCCAGCCAGAGTTAACTGTAGCTGTTCCAAGGAGGGTGAGATAGACTGTGAAGTTCAAGACCTTTGAAATTTCAAATCCTGTCTGCCTGATGAAGCTCAGTTAAGGTTTTTCAATCCTTTCTGGTGATTTCTGTTTTATTCCTCAACAGGAAAAACAAGAGTGGTGGTGGCTATATATAGCAGATAGAAAGGAACAAACTCTAATATCTATGCCCTATCATGTGTGTACACTTAAAGATCGAGAAGAGGTAAATATCTTGGTGGTACCTAACAATCACAGGTATATCAGTTATTTTCTGTCATACAGATTAAGTTGGGTAAGACATGCCATGCTGCTTTAAAGTATCAGCAAGTTTTTCTGTTTTTTGTTTTTATTTGTGTGTTTTCTGTTTTATTTTTTTAAAATTTGGAATGCCAGTAGAAACTATTCTGCCTCTTTTCTTCCAGAGGAAAAGAATTACAGCTCTCAAAGCTCACACAAATGAGTGAAATTAATGCTTGCAGTTCCTGTACATTCTGGTCACTTCCTTGTCTGGCAGGAACTATTTTGAGTGTCAGGGTAGTAGAAGACTGTAGTCCTACAACACTGGTTCTTAACCTTGGGTTACTCAGGAGTTTTGGACTGCAACTCCCAGAAGCCTTCACCACCAACTGTGCTGGCTGGGGTTTCTGGGAGTTGCAGTTCCAAAATATCCAAGTAACAAAGGTTAAGAACCACTGTCCTACAGCATTCTACAGTGAAAAACAATGAGATCTGCTTTCTGCTGCCTGTGTCTCTTGCAGTTGTCATACTTTTTGATCCTGAATTATGCTAGGGAGGAGACTTTTCCTTCTTTGTACTTCAGCTGCTCAGGAACACTGTGTGTGACTCATGTTAAGTTTTACAAATGGGCAAGTGCAAAAAACACATTTAATAAGGAGGTTTTATATGTAGAATGCATTCGAAATATGAATGGATATTTGTTAGGACAATTCCAGTAAAAGGATCACTGGTATAAGAATGTGGTTGGATGGGTATAAATAACATTTGGCACTTAGTAGACATGGGGGTATTTGTATATGAATACGAATATCCCCACACAGGTGGACATAATGAAGGTCCAGCCCCCTGGGACTGAACTATCCACTCACTATTCCACTGCTGCTGTGGACGCCATGTTCCCTTCCTATTGCTCCGGAACTTGTGGATGATGAGCATCGCCAACCGGACACTCTGGAATGATAGGAAGGGAGTGCAGAGCCAGCGGCGGCAGTGGAAAGTAAGTGGACCCTTATTATGTCCACCTGTGCGGGGGTATTTGTATTCATATACGAATACCCCCATCTCTAGTAGTTAGTATTGCAGATATTTCAACTGTTCCTGAAAATAATGGGGGGAGGGCAGGGGTCCCGAAGAAGAAAAAAAGGTTTTAATTCCCAGTCTTGTATTGTTTTAAAGAATCTCTCCGATCACGCTACTTTCATTGAATTAAACAGTAAAATAGCAGTAAAATTGAAGCCTAGCAAATTCTGCACTTGTGTTCTTTTTACTATAGCTGTTTCATTGTTCTCCTTGTCAATGCCAGGTTATAATATGTTGTGAATGAATTTTGTTTCTAGGTGGAACTAAAGTTTCCTGCACCAGGAAAACCTGGAAACTACCAATATACAGTATATTTAAGATCAGATTCCTATATGGGCTTGGACCAGATTAAACCATTGAAGGTAGGAGTTCTGACACTTTTGGGATTTGGCTGGAATGAGGGATTCTGAAAATTCAGTGAAGCTTTGAATATAATGATTGCCACATAGGACTGAATTGGTATGCAGTGTAGCAGTAGTCTTTTTCCAAGGGAAGAAGTAGATTTTCCCAAAGACTTTGTTCCATATGTGTAAGTCTTTCTCTGTCAAAATGGCAGCTCTTTGTTAAATTGGCTCACCCTGCCCCTGAGGTTCTGTCTAATGCAAGTGAAGTGTAACTGGGTACACTCAAAAGTACCCAGTTGGGGCTATGGGGCTAGTAATTCACTTGTTCATGCCTCCATTCCACTTGTACTGGCATTGAAATACATCCCAGGATTGTCTGGAGCCACTTAGTAGGTGATCCCAGTACATCAAAGCCAAATGCAAGAGTAGCATTATTCTTATTTTTATATAGCTTAATTTACCAGCCATTTCAGTGAGTAAAGTTTTGTTGACTCTGTGAGTGGAGTCCTTTAAAATTCATTGTAGTAAATATCACTCACACCCAGAAACTACCAGTATACTGGACAAAATACATTTGGTGTAAATTTGTGCTGGTAGATTTTAATTGAATTGAAAGCTTCTTATCCTCTCATTTTACGTTTGGAGGCTCCCTGGGGCCCCTTTTCACCCTGGGGAATCCCCTGGGAGCCTCAGGATGGGAAGAGGGCCTTTAATCATACAAAATGCCCATCGATCAAGCTACAATAGGCTTGAGACTCCCAGTGCCTTTTTTCTTTTTTCTTGTGGTGATTAATAGCTCTCTGCCCTCTCAAGGTTCCAAAGGCTTCTCTAGGGGCAAAAAGGGAGCCCTAAGGAACCTTGGAACTTAAAATGGTGTGTAGGGGGAGGATAGGCATTTTCCAATTAATTTACACCAGCTTTCACCCACATAAATTTACACCTACAAAATTTTGGCTGCTGTGTATTTAAGAGTAGTGAGTTGAGCAGTGTACCTGGCTGCCGCAGCCCCGCCTCCCTCTTTGCCCAGCCACTCCGCAGCTGAACAGGGGGACTTGACCTCCCGCCCCCTTGCCAGAGTGGCTGGGCGAGCAGGAAGGTGGGGCTGTGGCAGCCAGGCTGTTGCTGCAATTGGGGCAAAGAAGATTACGTCAGCCACATGCACTGTATGCTGCGTGATAAGTGGTCTGGTGGGTTCTAGGCTGGGTGGTTATCGTGCCAACCTCCTGTGTTGGCGGGTTTCATATTCATATATAAATATGTAGCTCCCATGTCTAGTGTGTACTAAATGTGTTTCAATCTATATTCAGCCTTTTATCTAGATCAGAATCATGTGTGACACAAGCATTAATAATTGAAAATAATCTATCACTTTTATGGACAATCACTCAAATTCTTTTTACAGCTGGAAGTTCATGAAGCTAAACCAGTGCCAGAAAATCATCCACAGTGGGATACGGCAATAGACGGTGATGAGGACCCAGATGATAGTGAGGGTTTTGAAGACAGCTTTGATGAAGAAGAAGAGGAGGAGGAGGAGGATGACTAAAAATGACTGTGAATTAACTGTGTTATATGGGACGACTCTACAAACTTTTGACCTGGAAAAGAATAAAACAAAACAGTGCAGAAGTACTGAAGATGGATTTTCTTTTTTAGTTTCTCTTTACCAATTATGAGTGCTTTATGTATCTTCCCAGTGGACGTCTGTCAATCAGTTGGTATAACCTGGGAGATGTTTATGGCTCTTTACAGCCTTTAAATACAGGACAATGCATTTATTCCAACTGAAAATAAAAACTTTTTTATTCTCAATGTCCAGCAGTGTGGGCTATGTTGTCTGATTGACTTTTGGTTCAGTATATTAAAGGGTACTATTATTAAATAGAAGAAATCATTAAATCAACTTTTCATATTAGCAGGCTTGTTTTACAGGTTTGGAACCACCAGTTAAAATTAACATCCCTTTGAATTCCTGTTTCATAAAAAGATCTTTATCAGTGACATTTTGAACATTTTTGAAGCCAGGCTGTTCTAAAAGTCAGATTATTCATTGCTTTAAACCTTGTTTTATTTCTTTTGGACTTCACAAACTGGTATTCTAGCTTTAGTTGGGGACATTCCATATTGTCATGAAGGCTGATCCTACCTTAAAGGAGAGGAAACTTTTAGTCCCATATTTTCATGCAGGTTTTAAGTATTCTTCAATAATATTAAGCATTTTAAGCATTTAATGTCAGCTAGTCATACCAGCTTAATTTCTTATAATAAACTTGTATGTATAAAATGATTGTGGGACCAATCATATTATACAAAGTGGTGGCTTAATACAGAATACCTTTTACTAAAGGTGAGACTATCAAAAACGAAATTATTGGCTTTTAATCTACCTTACCCTCTCAGAAGTCTTTAAAGCAGACACACAAGACACATTAAAATGTTTTTGTATTTATTGATAATGATTCAAAATAAACTGGACTAAATTTGATAACACTTTGCTTTGTAATAGTGCATTTTTCCTCTACATTGAAGTCTGAACAGGGATATTAGCATGGATAACCAGGCTTCATTCCCAACATATTGGGAATGCTTTTGGTTTCTACATGCATATCTGAAATTTTCTTTGAAGGAATAAAAAAAAAAAATCTACCCTCTTCACCCCAGTTTTTCTTTCCACTGGTAAAAGTAATAACTATCAATGTGGTTAGAAACTATAGAAATGCATCCAAGTGTCAATCATGTAGTAAGATTTTTATTACTAAATGTTGAGGAACTACAAGACTGAAATACTGTAAAAAATTTTTTGTGACAAACACATTTGTCATACAGGTAAATTTCCATATAATGGAAGCCATCCAAAGGCCAAATGAGCTGCTCACTAATTTGTGACCTTGTTTATGAAATAGAGGATTGTCACTTTAAATGCAAACTTAATTGATATATTTCTTTGTAATTGCAATAGTTGCAAATAAAATTTGAAAAATACCCTAAATGTGAAAATGGTTTCATTAAAAACAACAGTGGCATTCCTGTGATAAAATGCTATGTATATCAGGCAGAGGAACTGTGGAAAATTTCTCTTTCAAATGCGCCACCAAGACCATGATGTTGTGGTGGATTACTTTAAAGTGAAGAACCTTGTTTGCAATGGCTTGAACTGTCACATTTCCAGTACTATATGTTTTCTGTGCTTTGTTACCATATACTTCTGATTATGCCCTTTGGTAACTAGCATAGTTGTAGAGCATTATTAGAGTTGCAGTTGAGATTTAATTGAGTAAACTTGTTATTTCTTTATTATTAAGTAATTAAGATAATGCCCTTAACCAATGCCAGTACTGTATTGTTTTAACTGCCTATTAAGCTTGTTAAAGAGGCTCTAGTTCTATAATTGACCATAGGCTAGCAATCTATGTACACCCTAGTCAGTTCACTAGGCAATGCACTGAAGCGTAAAGTGCTCTGGATTTTAAAAGGCCCCGATTTTTACCTGAAATCATTCATCTGGTTGAACAACTATCTGTTTACGTCTGAAAACTGACTCACTGAGGTTTATATTGCTTCCAACGGATGCCATAGGAGTTTTTCCTCAGCAAATGGTCATTCATCCTTGAGTGATCCAGCTTCTTCCTTCAGCCTTCTCTTCCTGTGTCTTCTGTCCCATCTGGATTGCCTCTCTCTCCTAAATCTTCCTATCCGGTTGTGGCTTCTGCCTTTTATATGATTAGAAAGACCCTTTGCCAGACCAGTAAACAATTGCATACAAAAGCACCAGCATTCTGTCACCCACTGCTTAGCTGATTATTCCCCAGAAACAAGTTTCACTGAAATATATCAGGACCTTCCAGTCCCATTTGTCCAATTTGGATTTTCTCTATCAGAATATATACATGTGAAATCTGCCTTCGTAACATATTTTTACTGGTGATTAAACAATGTAGAGTTCCTTAAAAACCTGTTTCAAGACGTGTTCTTTAACATGCATACATGATTTGGAGCAGTAAAGTGGCTTGGGATGATTAAATGAAATCAAAGAATTCTAAATTTCCACAACTAACTGGAATAAAGGAAAGTACAGTTTAGAGCAAGCAATGGTGTAAGTGAAGCACACTTGGGCAAAAATGCTTAACTTCCCAAAGACTACTGGTGTGTGACCCTGGTGATGGTTGACTGGGTAAGTGTTCTTGTGCTTGTAGTTGATAATAACTATGTGTTGTCAAGTCATTTCTGACATGTGGCAACCCTTTTCCAGGTAGAAAATACTCAGAAGTGGTTTACCACTCTCTTTTTCGGGGGTGTCCTGGGACTGTGTAGTCAAGCTCAAGGTCACACCGGCTGGCCATACAGTGGACCCTCTACCTACGGAATTAATCCATATTGGAACGGTGGCTGCAGGTCGAAAAGTCTGTAGGTTGAGCCTCCATTGACCTACAATACATTGAAAACCAATTAATCCCGTAACTGGCCGTTTTTGTTCCATTTTGGTTTTTTTCTGGTCTGGAGGTCGATTCTCAGGCTGCAAGTTGAACCTAAATTTTGTGGCCAGAGAAGTCTGTAACTCAAAAAGTCTGTAAGTCGAGTCGTCTGTAAGTCGAGGGTCCACTGTATTTTGAGAAGGCACCATGGGCAATTGAACTCCCAACCTCTGGCTCCACAGCCAGATACCTAGCTCAATAAAAATACTAATCAAGACTGCTGTGAAAAAGACATTTTGTGTTGCAGGAAGTAAAATGGCCAACAACCATTTGAATAGTTCTGGCTTCTGCAGTACTGTTTTGTGTGTGTGTGCGAAAAAGAACACAGAAGGGCAACACAAACAAAAAGGCCAGGGCAGTTCTCATGTGTGAACAGATTCTGATCAGCTTAGAAAGATGTAATGCGGGGAGATGACAAGAGATTTAAACTGCATGGTATAAAAGCAGTAAATAGGGAAATTTTCTTCCCTGTAACACTAGAATAGAAGGGTTGTTCATTGAAGCTGAACAATGAAGTCAGGAGAGATTAAAGGATATATGCTCAGCAAATAATTCAGATATGGAAATCAAGATATAGTGGTGGTCACAAACTTGGTTGGTTTTCAGAGATAATTAGATACATTATTAGAAGTAAGGACCATCAGTGGCTATTAGTCAGAGTAGCTACATTGTGCCTTTAGCAGCAAAGCCAGTCTGGCTTTGAATATCACTTGCTGGAGAATGTGTGTGTGTGTGTGTTTACGCATGCTGTTGTCTAATCCTCAAGACCTTCTGTGGAACAATATGCTGGATTAGGCAAAACATGAATGGTCTTTTGCTCTGGGGTTATGCCTCATTTTATGACTTTTTTTTCCTTGTGAGATTACAAATTTTTGCCCAGGTTATCTAACAGTTTCATGTGTTGTGGAAGGAACTTGGATGTGCCTCTAAGGGCTGCCTTAACAGCGAGCTGAAAACTTTGCTAACTCTTTTCTTAAGCGTATATTCAATACAAGTGTGTTTGAATGCCTGTTTATCACATTTACAGTTACCGTTGTCAAAGTATACATCTTTTGTAAACATCCAAAGTGCGACCCACAGAAGCTTATACCGAATAAAAATGGGTAGTCCTTAAGGTGCCACAAGACTAGGGAATACTAATCATGTGCTGTCAAGTCAGTTCTGACAGGGTGACCCATTTCCAGGGTTTTCTGGGTAGAGGGAAGTGGTTTACCATTCCCTTCTTCTGTGCAGCTTGCCCAAGGTCACATAGGTTAGTTCTTCTCCCTGGAGACACAGTGGGGAATTGAACTCCCCGACTCTGGTTCTGCAGCCGGATATGTACTGAGCAATGAACAAAGCTTTTGGCTGAGCTTGCAGAGGAAAACCATATTGCCTGATTCCAAGTTGATGAAGACCTCAGAATGGGTGGCTTTTTTTTCTTTTACTGTTTTATACTTTAGTATATCTTTAATTTTTAAATTGTATTACTTTTCATTTGTTTGACCATGGCTAGTGCCTTGACCTAAGTGCCTTTTATTGGCAGAAAGGTAGCAGTGAAGTGTAAATGTAGTAAAAATGAAAGGAAAAACAATAAATGCATAGATGGAACGAGACCAATCTTTCTGTTTTGGGCGTGCATTTCAACCCCATTCCAGATTACATCACTGCTCCCCACTTCCAGTATCTTTCCCCCATTCTTTCTGTTTTAACTTTGGGTATAATTTGCTTTTCTTTCTCCTTTTCATCTGTTGCATCTTGCTTTTCAATATGCATCTTGGGACAGTGGAACACCTGCTTCCTTTGTTCTTTGGATTCAAAAGTATGTTTTGGCTATACACTCTATAAGGTCATCATTTCAGCTGTTCCACACTGATATTTGAGGAACCCAGAAATAAACTTTGTCTCCGTAGTAAAAACGTGTGTTGTGATGTCTCATTCCTACCCCAGCAGGGGGAGACAAGCCCATAACATTCCAACTAGGAAGACCAACTCATGGGCAGGGAAAGAAAGAACAAAAGTGCATAGCTGGAACTCAGTTGATACTGGAGGTAATAAAAATGTGTTTGACTTCTGTCGGCACCGAATCCAATATACTGAAAATAAATTAAATTCATCTTAATTGATCTTCTATGTGATTAGCCTTTGATGCTGATTCTATGTGATCTTCTGCGTGTTGTTGTTAAGCTATCAGTGCTCACAGTATTTCGGAGAGACCAGGAGGTCAGGATCCACCTCTAAGGATCTTAGAATCTAAAATAAGTGACAAGAGCATGTTGTCTTCCAAGTGGTGGTGGATTACAATTACCATCAGCTCCAGATGGCATAGACTCAGTGTGGGTTGTATCCTTCAGCATCTGAAAGACTCTAGATTCCCTAATCTAAAATTTGACAGTGTGGGAGGAAAATAGTAGAAGGGAAAGGGTGCTATTTCCGTTACACACTCTGTGGATTAAGTACTCAAAGGTGTGTGTGGATAGCCTTGATTAGTTTTCTCACAGTCCTGTCATCTGCTTCCTGCTGAAATCTTGTCCCCCAGCTTTATTGATCAGTTGTTCAGTGGGCCGTGGGAGTATGATTTAAATGGTCTGCTATGTACAGGCAGAGGAGAGGCAGTCTGTGTGATCCTTTCTCATCCAAAATAGAGAAGAGTACTTTGGAAAGTGTCCATCTACTGGGACCTGCATTTTTGAAGGGCTGGCCGGCTGGGGAAGACACAGGCCCCTATCCAGCCAAATGCAGAAAGAGTCATTATAGGCATCCTTCAGTCTCGAGAGACTATGGTAACATGCTCTGAATCTAGGAGTGTCCTCCCCAGAGCATGAAGCCTGGGTAAAGTGATATGGAGGATAGGCTGTTACCCAAGCAGCAGATCCCCCCTCTCCACGTCGCTGAAATGATCCAATGGAAAGGCAAGAGCCAATACAACTGGTTCCAGCAACGTTGCAGGAGTTGGCAGAACGAAACGAATTGCCTTTGGGACTCCAGCTCTGGATTTTGCCTCTAGGTTAACTCCTGAAGCCTATTCCACGAGTGGATATAGCCACAAGGCAGTGGAGGTTTGAAATCGGAGTTTTCCTTCTCCTAGATGGGTTGCCTTCCATGGCTGACGAGCCCCACCTACCCGGCCTGCTCTTTAATAGTGCGGAAGTATGATCCAACCCTTAGAACTTTCCTGCCTCCCAGGTGTATGCAATCCTAATTTGGCGCTTAATAGGAGGCTGCCTTATACCAGGTCAGGTCTGGTTTCCCAACGGGCAACAGCTCTCTGCGATCTCCAGCAGAGAACCTTCTGACTGAAGAAGCCAGGGATTGAATCTGGGATTTTGTGAACGCCAAACAAACGTTCCAGCCACTGAGAGATGGCTTCCCTTCATTTCCTTGAAAATGACGACCGAAGATCCCAAAGATACTACCATTGTCAAGACCAAGAAAAGCGGTTGGAGTAGTGTTTTGGAAAATACAGATCACACAACAGCTTAAGGGAAATGAAACTCACTGGTCTTTAAGATGTCACAAGATTCTTGGT